TCGAATTCCTTACCATTTCCAAGTTTCGAAATTTTTGGTAGGTCAAATATTAAATCCCAATAGATAGCTGGATTGCTATCGTATTCAGTTTTTTCAATATTTATTGGCTGACCGCGTTTTCCTTTTGCCAATTTCAATGCTCCAAATTTTCTCGCAATCAAATAAAAAAGATGGATATCGATGCGGATATGTTTCATATCAAAATCGTGGACTGGAATTACTAAGAAATTTTTTATTTTTGGCGGGAGTGGAGTGGTCGGCATGACATTATTGTTCGGATCGCGCCAATATTGGAACCAGCGTTGTTTCAACATTTCATATTTCACGTGAAAATCGAAAATTTGTCGCTGAATGTTTATAAATATTGGGATGGTTTGGAACCAGCGATCACGAATGAGATTCTGGAAGTGTACATTGATTGGCAATCCAATGCCTGCTGCTTCGTTTAATAGAAGATCGATGTTCGCGTTTCTGTCGACTCTACTCTGGAACATTACGATCTTCGTCGCACGTTTTACATCCAATTCAGTGATGAGATTTCCTTGTCGATTCAAATTCAGTTCGTAGCGCTTTAGCGTGAAAAATTTCTTGATGCGACTGAATGCCCCTACTCTGATGTTATTTTTCACGTTTGCTATGTACTGAGTGATGAGACGATTGAATGCGTTCCCCATGCCCTCGCGAGCTGGCCAATTTTCTGGACGAAGAAAATCAGGACATGCTTGCTCCACAGTTCGTCGAAATGCAAGCGGTAATTTGTGGTAATTTTCTTGTAATACCGAGGTGAAACATTCACCAATTACACCATTCACGTATTTATTGAATTCATCATTCGTGTATTCATCGGATTCACCTTTAAAAAATCGAACATTTTCATCGTCAAAGGCTTTGTTTGCTTTGAACAAAAACAGTAATGACGCCAGAGTCGTAATCATTGTGGCCGAAAGGCACCAGTATGTGACCTGATCGATGAATGGTGCACGATACTCTTCCCGCAGCACTTGATTTAGAGTCATCTTCAACGACGTACTGCGCCCATTCTTGGCTCTCTTTCTTCTCATCGTGACAGATCTATTGTACAAAAATTAAAGAAAAAAATACACCAAATATAGCATAGATCACAAACACAATAAGATATAAATCCTTCTATCACAAATTAAATGAAACAGTAATGAAGAACGCATTATAAATATCACCTCTTACCTCAATAAAGTGACTCTGTATTCTAAATCGAATGATGAAATTTATTTCCAATGTGACATCAAATATTTTGCCGATCGAAATGTTGTTGGAATATTCACAGTTAATTTTATCAACACTCTGTTAATTCGAAATTAAAACAAAGACAGTCACAAAACCAACTGTGAATATATCCATTTCACAGGGAACAGCATTCCAAACACATAAAATCGTTTTTGAAATGACAATAAAACCAATTGATCGCCCAAACCACGCTTCAAACACTCTCATATAATTCTCAAGAAATCCTGTTGAAAACAAAACAAAGTTTTATTGTAAACAAAATCGGTTGGTGCGATAGTTGTTTATACTAACTATTGTTAGTATAAGATGCGAGCACACTTTTAATACATATAAATGAATATCGTTGCATTTGGTTTGACATGTCAGAAAGATGTCAGCTGCATTTCGAAAATTCAAAATAATAATTCCACATATAAAGAAAATTAAATGCAATAAATGACGTATAAAAGAGTTCTTCTGCAGAGTTTTAAATTAAATTATGCAAATCCCTTTCCGAATAAATTGTTTATTTTTTTATTTGAGCGTAAGATTTAGATTTTCAATTTAAAACTTAATGTATTGGGTTGTGTTCACATTATGTTGTCAAATGAAATATTATTGGAAGTGAAAGAAACAAGTGGATCCATTCCATTGGAATTCGTGGAAACTATGCATATAATCTCCGTTCCATTTGACACGAAAATGACCACCAGAATGGGCCAAAACGTTTCATTTTTCAACGTTAGAATGTACTAAAAACATTACAAATTTGTTTGCTGCTATAGCTATATCATCTATATATGATTTTACTCAAACTTTGGTTGCCTGGCCTTTTTTTTCACTCACATTGAGCCATAAAGGTTTTGTTGTGTAACAGTCCTTTCAAATTTGGAAACCAAGTGAATTTCTTAAAATTGATGTCTTCATCTTTTTAAATTTTGTTTTCATATATTTCTTTCGAAAAGGCGAAAATGATGTTATTCAAAATACGTAACTTGTAAACATATAATCGCAATGTCATGAAACTTTGACAGTGACGTTTGTGGTTACTTGTCAAATAAACTATAAATATAAGTTGAAGATTAAATCAATCCTATATGTCTTGAAATTTAGTAAACAATGTAAGCTTGAAATCATATGTACTTATGGTAATATTTTTTATGGCATGTGTTACTGTAATAATATAAAGAGAAAATAACCTATATTCACTACATAATTGGTATGTTCTTTAAAAAATTAGAAAATAAGAACTTAGACGTATGTATTGAGAATTTTGACTAGCATAGAAGGTTGATATGTGATCTAGAACATGATATTCTTTGTGCATTCATTTTACGCGTCATCATCTTCATTATAATCATCACATTATTATGGTTTTGCAAAATTCCTGTTATTATTTGTATTCAATTGAACACTTCAAATTGTTGAAAAACGTTTTTTTTTTTTAAATGCATGTAAGATTTCTTTTATGTTGATCCGGTCCGTATTATTCGAGTCATTTTACTAAATGCAGGCAAAATTCAATTTTTTCAAACAAAAATAAAAACTTTGAAAACTTTGTTCACTTTCCAAAATGCAAGTATTTAATAAGTTGAAAATTATTGAAGTTATTCTTAAAAAATCGTGGAACATTGTAAAAAAATCTGGACAAAATCCGGTTTTTTTTGTAATGTCATTAATAAATCAATAAGTATACAAAAAATGTAACTTTTCTTCTGTTTCTCGGAGTTTTTCAAAGTTTATCCCTATGTTTCCACCTTTATCTATAGGACCTATGCCCATCGTCGGAAGCTCTTGAACAAATAATTCCAATATTAATAATAATAACTGCACCGAACAGCGTTCCTTCGCCTTGGTGGTTTATTAAAAATAATTTAAATAAATATGTACCATACAGTTTGTATATTTTCCATCAAGCAATTCTGAGAGCAATTTGTGTTTTAAAAAAAGCAAAAAATATACCAAACATCATCAATGTTTTGAAAATTTATTCCAGAATGTCAAAACATCAGCGAAGCAACAAAATTAATATTATATCTATTGAATATATCGAGAAGAGAGTATGTTATTTAGCGCTTATAGCTGAGTAATGTCTGAATAAAAACATACTCTCCTCTCAATATTTTCAATAGATATGTGTTTGATTATTTGAATTATCAAGAAAAAAATTATAGAACCATCAACTTCGAACGCATATTGAACAGACATATGTCGTGTACTTTGGAGTCTATTTAAAGCATAGGTTTTTGTTGTCGAACCTTCAAAATCATGCTTTGGCGGACCAATATGTCGATTTCTTTCAACTTTCTCTCGAACTTTCCCGCTAATTGTTACTTGTTTCAAGTATTTTGGACCTTCGCCTATAACTTACATCCAAAAACAGACGAGAAATAATTAATTTGGTGTCTTTTTGTGAAGTTAAACAGATGGTCCTTTTTTCACGGAAATGTCATATTTTAAGAAGTGAGCCATTATTGTGGTTTTTTCTGCTTACAAACCAAAATTTTGTGTTAAATCAGATAGTTCTCAATAAATTCCATCAATTTCAACAACAATTGGTTGATAATGGAGCATGTAATGGAGGTTTTACCTTACGTTTCAGCACCAAATTCTCGAATATTGGCTCTAAAACACCTTCCAAAGAAGATCCTACCATACAAACACGCCTTTATCAAAGTTCGGTTTGTCGACGTCTCTAGCCTTATATAGTAGTGCCCTAACATAATCAATGCAAAAGAAACCACTTGCACTTGATTCGTGGTTCGACATAGCGATGAATGTTTCATTGTCCAAAATGATGAATTTTTCAGTGCAAAATGCTATGAGGTGAAGTAAATACCCAATTTTTGACACCCCATTGAATTTTTTCATTACTTATTTTGCTGATTCCTAATGACCGGGTCTAAATCTATTGTTTTGGTTCAAATTTTGATGTGCTGTAACCATAAAAATCACCAAAAACGAATTTTTGCTTGACCAACCCGGTTTTCGGTACTTGATGACGATTTTGGAGGGTTCCCATATGAAACCTCAACGCTATGCGCGTCAAATCGACGTTATTCGACGCTATTCCATGTGTATATAGAATTGTACATTATGTTTTACAGTGCTGTGCAAGCATGCGGCCTTATACACAGTAACACACGAACTCCGTTTATGCGCGCGCGTTGCCTGTTATGTTTTGTATATTGAATTGCGACTCAATCACAGTAGACGGCGCAGGCACTGTAAAACATAATGTACAATTTGACATTCGAATTGAGTTTGATAGTAGTCCCGAGGTACTGATAAACGTGCCGTGTGCATTGGTTGATATTTTTGATTTTGTTTATGTGGCGCAATAAACGCCTGAATGTAAAACTGTCAAGACTTTATGGACATATGTTACGTGAAATACAATCTTAAAACATTTCAAATAATTCTGAATAAAATAAAATGTTGTAGATTTTCAAGTTTATTTATTTATTGTCGTTCATAACCATTTTATGAGTGATTATTTATTTTTATAGTGTGATCAATATCAAAGCATCATGGAACAACCTGAAGCAGAATATGCAGAAACTAGTTCGAAATTTGAAAATTCAAAATCAGGTGAGATTAGGATATAAAAATACTCAGATCTTGAAAAATATATGAAGGTAATTTCAAATTTTTAATAAAAATCTTGAGATATAGTACCATATATTTCAAATGTCAATGAATAATATTTGTTCAAAATCTTCATTCCCTATCCAGCCTGACATATTTTTGCGATTACCTTGTTACCTGCCTAGGGATTAAGTGAATAATATGTGACAATTTGTGACAACATTATTTATGCCCATGGAATAGACCTTCGGCCAGTTTTGGCCATTTTTCTATGAAGGCCTATTGGTCAAAAAGTCTCTTAGCGAAATTTTGAATGAAAGCAAAAAATAAAAATCTCATGATGTAGAATCTTAATGATTAAATTGTGACTCACAAATATGACTTTAGATTTTCGATAAGACATCTGGTGCACAAAAATGATTTTAATCGAAAATTTGAAAGGACTTTTCATAAAAATGGCCAAATTATAAAAATTCTTCGACATAATTTTAGTGACCAATTTGTGACTCTGAAAAATGTCAACATTTGAATTTGTGACACAACGTGTGTGACAGAAATCTAAATTTTTCGATTTTCTCACTAAAATTCGGAGTTGAATGATATTTTGCAAAGCGAATACGTAGATCCAAATAAATGGTGTCATCATGGTGACATTTTTGAGAGTTATAAATTTGTCACTAAAAGATGGCATCATTCATTTGAATCTACCTATTCGATTTGAAAAATTTCATTCAACTCCGAATTTAAGTGAAAAAATCGAAAAATTTAGATTTCTGCCACAAACGTTGTGTCACAAATTCAAATGTTGACATTTTTCAGAGTCACAAATTGGTCACTAAAATTATGTCGAAATTTTCTTATAATTTTGCCCATTTTTATGAAAAGCCTTTTTAAATTTTCGATTGAAATCATTTTTGTGTATTTTTCAATTTTTTGTTCATAATATGTCCACCAGATATCGTATCGAAAATCTAAAGTCACAAACAAATCAATAATAATAATAATAATAACTGCGCCGAACAGCGTTCCTTCGCCTTGGTGGTTTATTCAAAATAATTTAATTAGATACAATATGATTAAATTCTTGCATCAAGCAAAGAGATAAATAATTATTATTATAAAAAGATTTCATTTATATTTACAATTCATCTATTTTCTTTCAAATATTTCTCAATTCTCAGCTTTACCGTCGATAAATTTCCTTCTAAATCAATCAAATTAGAATCACAATTTGGCATTTTCTTTGTATAATAATCATTGAATGTTATAAGCATATAATTAATTGGTTCATATTTTGTGTAATCGCTTCTTCTAATCGGTATATCAAAAAGCGGCATTGCACGGGTATTATGCGTTGAATCATAATAATTTAAACTGTTTGATATATGACTCGACTTCATATCTCCATTAATAATTTTGAAGATGGAAGACACTTGCGCCACCTTGCGTCTCTCCTCAAGCGTAATAATTTGAAAAAAAAAACAGCAGTCTATGTTCATATTTCGGAAGCTTGTAACTGTCCCAGTTCATTCTACTTAGCGCATAAAGTAAAAATTGTTTTTGTATTGACTCTATACTTTTGCACATATTGTCGTAGTGTGGATTCCATATTTCCGATCCATATTCTATAATTGGTAATACAAATGTATAATAAAGGCGTTTAATTGTCCATCGGTCAATAAAATCCTTGCTGTAGAACTTTAGTCAAGCCAATCTTGATTTTGCTTTAGCCGTGACATGCTCAATGTGTAATTTGAAATTCATTTGCACATCAAGCAACACTCCCAAGTCCCTTATTATAAAGACTCTTTCAATTTGAACGCCGCCTATGTTGTATTTGTATTCATATTGCAGTGATCCCCGATGATATGATATGATCTTTGATTTGTTTACATTTAATTTTAATAAATTGCGTCTATAATAATCCGCTACACGATCCAAGTCATTTTGAAGATTAATGCAGTCACCTGTTGTTGTAGATCAATTACAAACATGATGAACAAAGTAGCGCCAATGGGATATCCTTGACCCGTCCCAGAAGTAACTTCGATTGGGTTGGATTTAATATCTGCAATCTTTACAATTTGTCTGCGACCAGACAAGTAAGATTTGATCCATTTTAACAGCTGCTCATTCAATCCCATGATTTCAAGTTTTTGAATAAGTAAATTTAAGTTAACCGAGTCAAAGGCCTTGGCTATGTCTAAATAGATGGCGTCTGTTTGATGTCTTCTTCCCATGTTAATAATCGTATTTGAAGTAAATTCTACTAAATTTGTTATCGTTGAAGAATGACATTAATTTAAAGCAAAACAGATAAATACAAAATGTTTTTAATGGATTTTAGAGATTATGAGCAGTTAGAAAATTAATTAGTGAAATTTATATTATTTACATAAAAGGAGAGAAGCAATAATTTTTCATTAACACTCTCAAAAATGCTTGATAAAAATCGAATTGCATTATATTATATTTATTTAACTAAAATATTTTCAATAAACCACCAAGGTGAAGGAACGCTGTTCGGTGCAAGTATTATTATTATTATTGATGAATCCATGCTGACTTTCGTGTACTATGTTCTTCAAATATAGGTTGAGATGGTCTGTGACGTAATGCACTGTAAAGCAACACCGCGATAATTGTGAACGTTGTTTCTACGAGGGTTGCTCCATAATTTTTTTTAAAAACATATATAACACAGTTGTTTTTTGTCGAAAATGGTTTTATTGTTTTTCAAAATATTCCCCGAGATGATCGATACACTTTTGCATTCGATGAAACCATTTGTCATAGCATTCGTGCCACTCCGAAACTGATATCTCCAAAACGTGTGTTTTGAACGCTTCAACTGCTTCTTCTGGTGTCGAAAATCGTTGACCACGTAGTTTTTTCTTCACGCTTGGGAACAAAAAAAAGTCATTGGGTGCCAGGTCAGGACTGTACGGTGGATGACCCATCAGTTCGATGTTTTGACCGGTCAAAAATCGAGTAGTTTGAAAAGATGTGTGAGAGCTCGCATTATCGTGATGAAGAATTATTTTGCGACGGTGGTTGTTTTTTCTTATTTCACCAAACACTTCGGGCAAACAAATGGTGGTATACCAATCAGAATTGACGGTCTTACGATCCTCTAGTGGAACGGTTGCCACATGACCACTTCTCCCGAAAAAACAGGCGACCATTCGCTTCGAAGTGCTTCTTGCTCGAACAACTTTCGTTGGGTTATCTTCATTTTGGAAGACCCATACAGTCGACTGCTGTTTCGTTTCGGGCTCATAGGCATATATCCACGATTCGTCACCAGTGACGATTTTATTAACGTCTTTTGAAGCACCACGATTGAATTTCTTGAGCATTTCTTTACACCAACTCACACGAGCCATTTTTTGTTCATCGGTCAATTTATGTGGGATCCAACGAGAGCAAATCTTTTTTACGGCTAAATGTTCATGCAAAATTGTATGTATGCTGTGGGATGAAATGCCCAAAGATGCCTCAATCTCACGGTAGGTCACATGACGATCTTCCATAATCAGTTTTCTGACAGCATCGATGTTTTGTGGCACAACAGCCGATTTTGGACGACCTGTATGAAACTCGTCTTTGAGCGAACTACGACCGCAACGGAATTCTCGGTACCAGTTATAAATTGTCTGAAGGGTTGGTGCTTCATTGCCAAAGGCCAAATGAAGTCGATCGAAACACTGTTGTTGAGATAATTTACTTCGAAAATCGTAGTAAATCATTTTACGAAAATCTTCACGTGTAAAATTCATTTTTTTGTTGAGTCGCAGTTTACCAGTCACTGTAAACAATACAAATAGCGTTCGTACGACAAAAGGTTCAGGGCACGAATACATACCAAAACATCAAACTTTACGAATATGACAATAGTTTACATCGGGCAACACTATAAGTACCATTTTAAAAAAAATTATGGAGCAACCTACGTATAGCCGTTTTTGTAAACTGATCTGACAAAGGGCGTTCTCCATATCTGCGGTACAGTGGCAGTTTCAAGTGATTCCTTTAACAGTGTTGATATTGGCTCCTGTAATGAAATCAAACAATACTTGATGAATTTGTTTGGAATTTCATCAGGACCACAGACAAGATCATCTGGCAGCATGCTTATATGTTGACCTACAAGCTCCTCGGTTATTTCAGTAATTAATCATTATTTATAAAATCGGTTATTTATAACCTCGTTTATTTCGATCATTGATATTTCAGCACATATATTACTATTTTTTCTATTTCCGAGCTTCTAAAGAGCTATAAGCGGTGCCAAAGTGTTATGCAAAAAAACTAGCAATTGTTAATTGATTGCTTGCTTTTTCATTCAAATAAGTCATCTCATGTGGTAGATCTTCACTTTTCCCTTTTTTGAAATTCACGTGCTTGAAAAATGTCTTTGGATCATCATCTATCTGTTTCTTCATCTCTATTCTGTCATCTCTGAGTGCTGAGCGTGCCCATCTTCTATATTCCCTTCTAATTTATTTGTAATGTTCAATTGATTCAAGTGTGTTGAGCCTTTTTTTTTGATGTGCTTTGCTGACTTTGTTCTTCAACTCAACCAAGGATTTGTTAAACCACATCGGTTGTTTTCTGATGATTTTTGTCTTCAACTGGACATGAGTTTCTATTGTTGACCTAATAATTGCATAAAAATTATCCAATCTTAACTCTTATGAATTTGTATCAAAAACATTATCCCAATCTACATCAAGAAGTGACTCATTTATTCGTTTATAGTCAGCGTTGTTGAAATCTCGATATGTATGTATTGTTTCAGTTGTCTTTATGATTGGCTCTTTATATCGTATACTAATAGCATTATGATGCTTTTCAAAATTCAACAAATGAAAGTCACCTATGAAGCTTTGAAGCAACATCATTTGTCCAGATTAAATCAAGCATACGACCATTTTGGTTGTAGTTCTTGTTAATCTGGTGAAGTCCCAGTTCATAGCAAGTATCCAGCACTATCTTCTCTTTTTCACTGGCTGCATTGATAGCAATTGCAATGTCGGGGTCCTCATTTTCATCAACAAACCAAATCAATTTCGGCAGATTAAAGTCTCCGGACATATTCAAAACATCATTTGTATTCAATTTCGATGCGACTTCTTTCAAGGCATACATGTTGTTTTCATACACCTTGAGTGTTGAATCAGGTCGAATATATAATTCAACCAAAAAGATGTTCCTGTAGTAGATTTGTAGATTTGTAGTTTTTGCTTTCATTCAAAATTTCGCTAAGAAACTTTTTGGCCAACTGGCCTAAATGGAAAAATGGCCAAAACTGGCCGAAGGTCCATATTTCATGGGCCGAAATAATGGTGTCACAAATTCTCACAAATTAGTCACTAAATCCCTAGGCAGGTTACAAGGCAATCACAAAAATGTGTCAGGCTGGGGGCCCATTAAAGGAATGGTAAAGAAAATGCAAATTAATATTCTTCTATGTATTTTAAGTGAAAATATTACCCAAAGATGAGGGAACAAAAAAAACGTTATCGAGGAATGAGGAACTAATACCGCCAGGTTTGATAATATTATTTTAAATCGATTTTTCCCGCTTTTCGGGTGGGAAATCGTGAAAAATAACCAAAATGTTGACTCCCGTAGAGAGCCACAACACCCGAGCACACCTGATGGCCTAAAGTCCAAATCTGGTGGAATTCGGATGATCCATTACAATTAAAAATACATTACACGAAGAATGGATTTTTTTTATAGAATCTCATTATGGAAGTTCTGGAATCTAGGTCAAATCCTGATAATCCATGGATCATCCGAATTCCACCGGATCTAGACAATCGAACCGCTTGGGTATTGTAGCTCCCTACGATTTACCATTTTTATTTTTTTTCCTGAATTTGACAGCTGACTTTGACACATTGTTTTTTTCATTGCTCGCGAATTATTTTGAATATTTTCGTAAATTAAAATGGAAATAAGCCATATTAAAAAATAAAAATCAATGCAATAGTTAATAAAAATAATTGGCTATCGTAGATGATTGAAGTTTAGTTTGGTTGAAATCCATTAGAAAAGAAATAAGAAAAATAAACAAAGCGTAAAATTGAATGCTTGATCGAGAGAAATAAACATATGGAGAAGTTACACATGAGAATGGGATTGTTGAGGCGAGAGATGATTGTTGAGAGCAAAAAACTTGTATATTCGAATGATGATTTCAAAGAGGATGAATTTAATGCAATTTTCAACGGTAAAAAACCAATGCCAATAACGTGCGCGAATTGTTTGCATAAAATAAAATCGAACAGTGAAGGTGGACATTTAAGTGATGCCCATGATGAGCAATCATTCACAAAAAATGACAAGATGATGAAAAATGTAGGAGACAAACTTATTCAATCAATTCAAAGCACATTCAAAGAGGAGATTGAAAAGTCTCTTTTTGAAAAAGAGAAAAATGAAGTGATTATAATAAATTCAACTTTATTTGGTGATTCGAATGACGCTGATGCTGATGAAAAATTGAAAGAAAAAGTGGAACGAAAGAGACAAAAGAAGATAGAAAAGAGGAAAAAAGCGCGGCAAAATAAGAAGAAGAAAAAGGAAACGAACAAAACGGAAAGGGAAGCCAAAAATGATAAGCAACCAAATAATTTCAAAGGATCACAACAGCCGGAAACAAACTCAAAAGAAAAGATTGATGAACAACCAGCACCTACTACATCAAAAGAGCCACAAAAAAACAAACATCACAAATAAATAAGACAGAAAACAAAGCAAAGCAGCAAAAACAAACGTCAAAACAGTCACAATCACAATCACGCGTACACGGTAACCAGACACACACACAAAACTCAAGACATGAACCACAACCAAATGTTAATTATTGGCAAAATAATTGGCAAGGACATTTACAACGTAATGACCAGCGATTTCATACCGATAAAACATTTGTCATCAAAAGGCAATATGATAATCGTGGTGAGTATTTGAGTTTTAGACAAGGGCAGTCGTCGCATACGGAAAGTTGTGTTTGCCGGAAATGCTTCGAGGACCATGAGCGAAGATATGAAAATTTTCGTCGTTTTCGGACAGGACTTCGGCCACCGGGCCAGAGATGGCAGCACCAGCGCCATTAATGGAACACAATAACAAAGTATCTGCTGATTTTTCTTCAAGGGGTTTGAGGTGTAGTCACTCAGGTAATTTGAATAATTACAGTATATGTTCTCCACAAGGGGATACGAGTACTACACACAAATTTAATGAAGAAAAATTTAAAATGCAGATGACAATCCATTCACAAAATGTAAATGGATTGAGGACAAAGATGCCAGAGTTTGCTGCCGAGATTCTTATTAGCCAGTCTCCAATTTACATGCTTCGTGAAACTCATTTGAATGAGATAATCAATTCGGCCGACGTTTTTCCACCAATGTACGAGGTCTATCGATGTGATCGTTCAGCAGCCACATAAAAGGATCAAGTACATCAAAAAGTGAACGGAGGTGGAGTTTTGATCGCAATAAACAACAAACTGAAATCAGTTTGCATCGGAACGGGAGACCATTTCGGAGCGGAACAAATTTGGGTGAAGGTGTCCGGTTCAAAAACATCTTTTTGGTAGAATTGTATATCAGACCAGACTCAACTCTAAAGGTGTATGAAAACAACCTGCACGCATTGAAAGAAATCGCATCGAAGTTGAATATAAATGATGTTTTGGTAGTCTCCGGGGACTTCAATCTGCCCAAATTGATTTTGTTTGTTGACGAAGTTTAGGACCCAGACATAGCAATTGCTATCAATACAGCCAGTGAAAAACAGAAAATAGTGCTGGATACTTGCTATGAACTGGGACTTCACCAGATTAACAAGAGCTGCAACGAAAATGGTCCGTTGCTTGATTTGATCTGGACGAATGATGTTGAGCTGTTTCAGTGTAACTTGAGTGACTATCATTTGTTGAATTTTGAGAAGCACCACAAAGCTATCAAAATCAAACATAATGAGCCTGTCATCAAAACTATAGACACTAAGCAAACGTATCGTGACTTCATCAACGCTGACTATGAACAAATAAATGAGTCACTTCTTAACGTCGACTGGCAGAGCATTTTCGAAACAAATTCATTAGAATTGAGACTAAACAACTTCTATGCAATTGTTAAGTCAACAATCGAAACTCATGTGCAGTTGAAAACAAAGGTCAAGAGAATGCATCCAGGGTGGTTCAACAAGCCATTAATCGATATGAAAAACAAAGTCAGGAAGGCACATCGAAATAAAAATAAACACAGCTCATTTGAATCAATAGAACATTTCAAAAAAATGAGGAGAGTATATAAACATTGCGCTCGCTCAGCTCTCAAAGATTATCGAATTGAAATGGAGAATTTGATAGATGAAGATCCAAAGAAATTTTTTAAACATGTGAATTTCGAAAATGGTAAAAGCGTAGCGGTGCAGTGGAGGGCGCGTAATGGAACTACGTGGCCATCACATTTACAGTACTTTTGGCAACACTGTTCGTAGTGTTCTGACATTTCATGAAATGTGACATTAATGTTCGTTCATTTGAACCGTGTTTGAGTTTTTGAAATAAAGTGATGAAATTATAATTTATTATTGTGAGTTTGATATATATTTTATTATTATGATAAAATAACAGTGAAAAAAATGTGTGAAAACATATGTAAGTATTGAACATTTCAAAAAATTAGTTTAAATTTCTTGAATTGAATTGGTAAAACTTCTTATTATTCACAAGGTGCGTTGTTCTTTAAGGAGTCAGTCAAAAATATATTTCTTTTTACTACATGTGTTTGTTATGAGTATCTCTGAGCGGTGCAATGTGAGTGTGTAAATGTGTTACGGCTGGAACAAAAATGTGCTAGCGGTGGCACAAGTGTATTTACTCGACCGTAATCGACAGAACGGATAACTAACTTTCAATAATTCTGAGGAAAACTCAATAATATATTTTAAAAATATTGAACTTAGTGACGCTTAATGAAATAATAAAAAAGAAATATATTTTTGACTGACTCCTTAAAGAACAACGCACCTTGTGAATAATAAGAAGTTTTACCAATTCAATTCAAGAAATTTACACTGGTTTTTTTGAAATTTTCAATACTTACATATGTTTTCACACATTTTTTTCACTGTTATTTTATCATAATAATAAAATACATATAAAAACTCACAATAATAAATCAGAATTTCAAAAACTCAAACACGGTTCATATCAACAAACATTAATGTCACATTTCATGAAATGTCAAAACACTAATAACAGTGTTGCCAAAAGTAATGTAAATGTGATGGCGCCACCAGTACTAAAATACTACACTGCGCTAGGACGGGTAAAAGTGATGATCTGCCGCATGAGATGACTTATTTGGGAGTTAAGGCGAATGAATAAAATAATATATTTGAATTCATTTTCTTAGTTGTCATCGATTTCACGGACATAACATGTACACAAGTACAGTGCAAAAGATAACTGTCAGTTGTAGCTGAAACAATACATATACACCAAATAGTGAAAACCCCAATACATGCGCGCACTCAGCCGCTTCGTCGCTGTGATGTACACCTTAAGCGTGCATGTGATGATTGAGCATGTATTGTTTCTTTCACGCAACCGCTTCTCTGCTTTGAACCGTTTGTTTAGCGCCGTGAAATCGATGATAACCAATGAATCGATTTCAAACAAATTATTTTAAGTATTGTTTTAATATTCTAATTGGGGATTTTTTCCATATATTCGGGATTAAAATCCAAAAAGATTAATTCTTAATCCCTTCAGCTTTACATTGTTGGTTCCATTGCAGGGGCCAATCACAACATTGTTAAGAGAATCTCTTGAAACATGCACTGTACCACAGATTTGGAGAACGTCTTTTGTGAGACCGGTTTACAAGAACGGTGACAGAAACAACGTTCAAAATTACCGTGGTGTCGCTTTTCAGTGTATAGTGTCAAAAATTCTTGAATCAATCGTCACGAACCATCTTAATCAATATCTAAAAAATGTAGTACACAAAAGTCAACATGGGTTCATCAAAAATAGGCCAACGATAACGAACTTGGCAGAATTTACATCGAATACGATAATCAACATGAGAAAGGGACATCAAACAGACACCATATACTTGGACATCGCAAAGGCTTTTTCTTCTGTGAATATAAAATTACTAATTCAAAAGCTAAACATCATGGGATTGAATACACAGCTGTTAAAATGGATCGAATCGTATTTGTCTGGTCACAGACATATAGTCATGATGTCAGATACCAAATCAGACCCAATAGAAGTAACTTCTGGTACTGGTCAAGATACCATTGGCGCAACTTTGTTCATCATGTTTGTGATTGATCTACCATTCGTCGTGACCAAATCATGCATCCTTTCATTCGCTGATGATACCAAGATTTCAAAATGTATAAAATCATTCATCTTCAAAAGGATTTGGATTGTGTTGCAAATTACTATGAACGCAATTTATTAAAACTAAACGTTAACAAAACAAAGCTTATATCATATCATCGTGGATCACTGAAATATGAATATAATTACAACGTAGAAGGCGTGCAAATTGAAAGAGTTGAAATAATGAAGGACTTGGGAGTATTGCTTGATGTGAAGATGAATTTCAAATCACACATCGAGCATGTTGTTGCTAAGGCAAAATCAAGATTGGCTTGGTTAAAATTCTACAGCAGGGATTTTGTCGACCCTTGGACTATTAAGCGACTCTACTCCACGTGTGTATTACCAATCATAGAATATGGATCAGAAGCATGGAATCCACACTATAAGAATATGTGCAAGAGAATAGAGTCAATTCAAAAACAATTTTTGCTTTTTGCATTGAGAAGAATGTCCTGGAACAGTTATAGACTGCCGAAATATGAACATAGGCTGCTGTTTCTACGAATGATTACTCTTGAGGAAAGACGCAAGATGGCGCAGGCTAGGGGGTAGACACAATAGAGAATGAATGAATACCAATGAATTGTCATAATACCTATCTATTTTCAAATACTACAATTACTTACTTATTTAAAGATTACTTGTACTAAAAATGTGAATACCGTGATTACCAAATGTCAAATTGATATCGGTAATAAAGATTTCAAGTTTTTTCCATTTCGTTTTAACATTCACCATTTCGTAATTTATTTTAATTTTTTCTGTTTTCTTTCTGTTATTTTGATCAAAATTGTTTTTGCATTTATTAAACCAATTGAAATACTACAATTAATAGCGTTGAAAAAGTTTTTTTAATATTTGGAAGATAATATTCATATATGCACATTGTGAGACGTTGCTGAATGCATTGACATTTCGTCTAAAACTGAGAATACCAAGAATACCAAGAATACCTTCAATTTCGGTGAATATCTCAAGTAATATTCCATGTGTCTACCCCCTAGGGCGCAGGTGTCTTTCATCTTCAAAATTATCCACGGAGATTTGAAGTCAACTTATATTTCGGACAACTTGAAATATAATAATTCAGCGCATAATACACGTGCAACACCGTTATTTATTTCACCAAATAGAAGGACTGATTACACAAAATATGACTCAATAAATTATATGCTTGCTTCATTCAACGATTTCCATACCCATTTTTCTACAGTAAAACTGAGAATAGAAAATTATTAAAAGCAAAATAGATTATTTCAAAAATATTTATACATTAGAGATAAAATTATATAAATTATTTCATATTTATATTACTTTGAATAAACCACCAAGGCGAAGGAACGCTGTTCGGTGCAGTTATTATTATTATTATTATTACCATCGGAAGAGCGTATGATATAGTAGGGGACGACGCAAAACGCCACACTTTTTTGGGAGTCAAATATCTCACCAATAAAGGTTTCAAAGTGTGAATGAAAGATTTTGATGTCACCTATGTTGTCACCTATGCCAAAAAAAACCCCAATACATATTTTTGGGTGTTTAAGTATACATGAAGTATGACTTTTGTAAGAAAAATGGAATTTTTCTCTTCAGGCATGACACTTCCTCTATCAACCAAAGTTGTCCTCTATCAACCAAAGTATTTTCAATAAACCACCAAGGCGAAGGAACGCTGTTCGGTGCAGTTATTATTATTAAAAAAGATGTTTGCACAAATACAACGAATAACAAAAGACAGCACCCGATGTTTGTATCTGAATGAATTGCTAATATTTTCTGTATTTTTATTTATGTTGATAGATGGTGGATATGGCTGGTTAGTTCTAGCGGGGTCAATGCTCGTGAATCTTCTTGTTCCAGGTATGTGTTAAGCAAGGTGGATGACTTTTTCGAAAAAATATGAGTATTCAAAGCATACATGCTAGAGTAGTTGTATAAGCATGAGCTGATTCCAAAACAGAAATTTTAGATGGGCTAATGAGCCATATAGGGTGGACTACAACAGCTGTAGACAATATAAAAAAGAAAAAAACTCGAAAAAATAGTGATTTATATTAATAACATAATCGGTTCATTTTTCACATTTATATACTGGAATTGGAATTTATCATATAAGACCATATTTAGTCTTTATAAACCTTCAAATGACCAAAATATACAGATTTATTAAAGCATGTTAAATCTTTTGAAATCCTTAAAAACCAGCAAAAAAAAATCACTAGTCAACAAATGTGAATTTTTAGAAACGACTATATATTATGCCCAGCAGTCTGAATATTTTTAAATACCGGTTACATTTTTTTAAATGTTGATCAAAGACAGTATAACATAAATAAATACCCAGACCAAATTACGCATTACACCGTACGACAAAAAAAAAATGATCTTCTGTGACATGAACTTCGTGAATAGGGCGTTGTAGTAGATGGAAAAACTAGCAAAATTGCATCTTTGGTTTGTTCCATATACGTCTGTTTAAAAAAGTTATTCAATTTGGTAAATCTTCAGTACAAATATGAAAAGGGCGACTTTTAAACTGTATACTTCTTTCATTCTAAATTGGTGAACATGTGTATTTGGGGGTTTTTTGGTACGAACAATCCATTTTTGACATTATTTTGCGATATAATAACGTTTTGATACAATTTTCATACAAAAACGGGCAAAAATGATCGTTTACTTCATTTTTTTCCAATTTTTTTTTGTTGATGTCGATTTTATCATCGGATCGAAAAATTATGTTCTACAAAGTTGTTTAGAATGATGAGAGAAACTTTTTGGGTCAGCTGCCCTCCAACTTCCCCCACCCCCTAGAGAGTTCAGGGGAAATAACCCCTTTACCCCTGATTTTTTTGACCTGAAACCCAAAAATTCGGCTTCAGCATGCCAAAAAACCTTTAGAAAGTGTTTTTTTCCAGATGCCCTCCGAGACAATTATCAAATAAATAAAGAGTCATACAGGAGTAATAAAATGTCTTACATCCGTAAGATGAACTTTTCCGCACTGTGATCCATAACATGCATTTATTACGTATCTTTTACCGTCAATATGAATTCATGAGAAAACTAAATCTGATACAAATAATTTTTGAACGACTTTTCAATGCCTGTATGATATCGTAATCATGTGAAAATTTGCAGATGTTATTTTTCAGGCAGTTCGAACGAGTGACGGAACCACTTTGTGTGTTGAAAAGTCGACTCCAGACAGGCCAAACCGTGGCCGAGATGTCAAATCACAAATGACATTAGTTGTCCCTATCGAAATTTGCTGTCAAGCAAGTTATATATTAATTATTGTATTACATTTTGTTGGAGACTTATTTATTTAGAAATATATAAAAAGAATGTGAATGTGAACAAAAAAGATAAAAAAAATTAATATCGTGACGAATTATGTAATAAAATAAATATTATAATTCAATTACTCAGCGGCTAGTGTGATTTCATACGTCTATACCGCTGCAAAGCGGTACCAATATATACAAACACACAAAGGTCGACTCACTTTGGATAACATTTCTATTTTTTACACCTAATGACGGCTCATCATTTTTGTTTTTATTTTATTGGGGACCAAATATGAATCGTTGTGACGAAACAGTAGCTCTTATTTTTCTCCAAATAATACTGCAACATATCGATCGATTTTGACGGTAAGGGGGTGTTTGGAAAGGTATTGAGCTCTAGAAAATATTGATGTTTCAGGGGTCAATGTCCCCATTTAGTGCCATCCATGGCCGTAGAACTGAATTTTGACCCTTTTCTTGAAAGGATCATATTTTGAAGACAGGTGGATCGGATTCCAAACTTTGACATTTTTTCTTGATCCATGGCCCAAGGCCTTTCCAACCATACATCAATTGGGCCAAAGGCCTTCTGCGTATGGATTTCGTATATTTCGTGTATATATAGCGAGTTCGACTTTTCAACACACTAATGTGGTTTAGTCACTCGCGCGAACTTTGATTAAATATTTGAGTATTCAAATGTGAAAAATAAACCGCAATTCCTATTATCAAAAATCTCAATTTTTTCTATTTTATCAAAAAGTTGTCTTAACTCTCGTGAAGTCACCAACCTATATTAACCATTACAACATCCAACAAAGTGGCTGTTTGGAATCAGCCCATGCTTTTTCAACTACTCTGGCTTGTAGAGCGAAATAATAAAGACGTCTCTAATGACATATGACATTTCGATATTTTGGGAGTCATTCTCAATATAATACGATTGTGGAGGTTCAGCCCGTCCTTCCTATTAGGCATGTCAGTTTTTTTTATGGCGATCTAGTCCAAAATAGTGTGACGATTTTTCACTAAATCTTAACGAAATCCTGGTTTTATCCATCATATCCATTCTGGGTGATTTTTCATCCCGGTTTTGCCTCAAAAATCCATGAGATCTTACATTATTTCAATTTTTTTCCATTTTTAATATCGATTCATTAAATAATAAATGGAAAAACGTTATTAATATAGAGATTTCAGAAAGCGATCAGATATTCTTTTAGTCGACAGCGCCGCAAATATTCCCGAAAATTCTGTAGAACCCTTCTTCGGAGATCTTCGTTTGGAAAGTAATTCAAAATAGACTCGAGTGAATTATTGTTAACACAAAAATGAAGGAAGTATCTATCAGGACTTACCCATCGTATTCTGGTAGGCGACAATGCGTATGTAAAGGGGCCGGAGTCAATCTTGAATTGTTTTCCAAGTGAAGGTTTCGTTACGCTATCTACATCATTTTCGGGAATATTTGTGGAGCTTTCGATTATCTGATTTATCAGCTTACTTGAAATGTTGTTCTGTTATTAATAAATCGATATTGAAAAAAAAAAACATTTGAATAACGCATACAGGTACTGTAAAAAGTTTTGGAGTTCTTTTCATGGAGTTTCTGGAAGCCTTCGAAGCTTCACCATCATCCGCATTGTGGATTCCAGCGCTCTGCTACTTCTTGTATAGTTCACTAGGTTAGTCTAAATTTTGTCACTGTATAATTTTTTGTTTTTCTAAAAATTCTTTTAATGTTTTTTTTTCATGAGTGAAGGTCCATTATCAAGCATACTATCAGTCAAATACAGCTATCGTACAGTTACATTAATTGGTGGTACATTTGCGGCATTAGGAATGATTATATCGTGTTTTGCATCTTCAGTAGGATATTTGTACATAAGGTACGGTATGTTATTAATATGTTGTAATACAACAAATAAACTATGCATAAAAAACTTTATGTTGTAGTATTATTTGGAGAAAAATAAGAGCTACTTTTTCTCCGCAACGATTCATATGTACAAGAGTAAAAATTATTTATTGAATTTATTTTAGTTATGGTTTCCTTGTTGGCACTGGTGCAGGATTATCGTTTCCTCCCACAGGTAATCGGTTAGATAATACGGAAGTCCACGCTAAATGTAGCCAGACTTCATGATAAGAACTATTAACATTGTTCCTTAAATTAAACTAAATTAATTGATTGCTATAGAATAAAAACAGCGTATGAAAAGGTTGCATTTCAAAGCGAAACACCGTCATACAAAATACAGCAAAAAATGTATGTAAAAACAACCTATGGTGTGCGACCGTATCATACGCTGTATTTATTCTAGAGAATTCAATTTTTCATTTATTTGTTTGATTGATTATTTATTTTAATGAGCGATGTGCAGTGTGTGAACGATGCTATTCTCAGTTTTATATTATTCTTCATCGTCGCTACCGCTATTACTACTGCTATCATTACTATCATCACTTTTGTCAGTCAATTCACTTTTTACGCTTATTTTCATCAAATTGTTTGAAGCGTCGCTCTGCATGCTGATCTTGTGTCTTGGCATCGCCTGTGAATGCATCTGGAAATTTATGATAACCGTGTCAAAAAAAAAAAAATAAATTTATGACAACAGTTCTTGATAACCTTAATGTATGATGAAAATTGGATATTGAATTTAATGTTATTCAAATAAAGAGTCTTACGGGAGTAAGACGAACTTTTCCGCACGATGGTAGTTTCGTATTTTATTAAGAAAGTTCAAAATAATATTTTTTCGTTTTTTCAAGCGGCGTAAAGTTTGAGGCCAAAAAATATGTTTCAACTTTGGCAACAAAATATTCTTCAATTTAATAGCAGAAGTACCCGAGAAAAGATTTTTCACACTTTCATGATGAACCCATTTGTACGACATTTGAAAGTATTCTATTATTTTCTAACAAAACACTATAAAAAATATGTCTGACGCTAATTTTGCCATAGAAATTATTTTTGAAACACTTTTCATAACTAAAGTCACAAAAAATTTGGATTTTTGTATGGGAGCCATGTCTGTATGCTACCTTAATGGTGTGAAACTTTGCACAGGCTGTTTTTTCACAAAAAATAACACTCGGAGGGTTTGAAGAAATTTCAACCAAAAATAAAGAGTACCTCCCATACAAAATATTCGTTTTTTGAGCCAAATGAATATTTTGTATGGAAGGTACCCCTATTTTTAATTGAAATCTCTTCAAACTTTCAGAATGTCATTTTTTTGTGTAAAAAATAGTCTGTGCAAAGTTTCACGTCATTAAAGTAGCGTACAGGCATGGCTCCCATACAAAAATTCAATTTTTTGTGATTTTTTTAAGGAAACTGTATCAAATATTGATTGTATCTCAAAACTAACTTCGGATTCAGTTTTCTCGTGCCAAAAAACCCCCAATACATTATAGTGTTTGAGTCTACATTAAGTATGACTTTTGGACGAAAATTGGACTCTTTTTCATTGGTATCACTCCAGGCATGAAATCTTTTTCCATCAACCAAAGTCGCTCAAAATCTGATGATTTCTATTCCTCGGGACTTCCAATCATCCTGTTAAGTCAGATTTTGAATTTAGTTTCTACGATGAGCGCAATCTTGCTAACAAATTTTGCGTACGACGTACAACCAAAGCGCGACGATGACAAGCAACGTTGACAGTAGCGCCATGGTGCGGTTGCCAGCGAAACTAAAAATGGCACAAATTTCGATCGCTCAAATCAAAAATGGTACAAATTTGTGCCACCCAACATAAACAGTGACAACCATAATGAAGTTGCTGCGTTGCCCAGCTGTCATTGTCGTCGTGCTTTGCGTACAACGTACAACGTACGACGTACGACGTACAGATTTACATAAACCATGCTCAAAACGGCCTGATTCGGGTTTTCTGACCTCAGAAACGTCCAGAAAACATTTTTCTGAAGTTTTCAAAATTTTGACCGATTTTGATACTTTTCACCTTACCTATGTGTGCGGAAAAGTAAAAATATAAAAAGATAAATGATTCACTGTAACATACCGCGAAGTCGAATATTTCGACCGGCATTAGTGTCTCGATTCAATCTAACGGACTTTTGTCGTATCACCAATATCATAATTTCGTATGTATTTCCATGCGATGACATCTAGACGCTGACGTCGCAAATTCCATCGATCATATTGAAGCGTTTCAGTTTGACCTTTGCCTGGCGATTATCGTCGTCCGAATTCCGTGGGCGATATTTTTTCTGCTTCTTCAATTGTTTCGAATTCTTGTGGATGAATATGAATAAACCGCCATCGGGCAGTGCTTCTGGCGATGGTTTACACTTGCGACACACTTTGAACCGAGTTATCGTTGTCTTTCGGCCATTCTTCAAGTCATTTTCCAGTTCATTGAAGCAACGGCTACATATTTTCCTTGTTCGATATTCATCCACGTACTATATACCACGTGTTGTACGTACATAACCTTTGTATGGTGAATTTGCATGGGTGAACTTGAGCTGTCTGACAGTGGTTGAGATTTATTTGGACAATTTTCATGTTCTTTTGTTTAATGCTTTTTTAAACACTGGGCATTTGCCACTGCCGGCTACGTGTTTTGCGTTGTTTGCCGGGTCTCAGCTGTCACGTGAGCTGTCACGTCTACATGTTTTTTTTCTTCGCTCTCTATTTGGATACTTTAATTTTGCTTAATTTTAATCGAAATCACATTAAAAAAAACAGAAAAATTATTGAAAGAATTATTATTGAATTGTGTACAAGAAAAACATCAAGTTTAAGTGATTTGAAGTAAATTAAAGAAAAGAAGAGGAAGAAAACGAACGAAAAAGTGTCTCATCATTGTTGTTAGTGTAATTGACGGAACAACATGGGTAAATTGCATTGCTGTGTTGAAAATGGTTGTGACGGATTACGCTATTCTGGTCTGCATTTGAACTGCATGATTTGTGAAAAAAAGATATATGTGGCATGCATGAGATTGTGGGATGATGTTGTGAGGAGTTTCTTGATAAAATTTGGACTTCTACAATTGACAGATCCAGCTAAAAATGCATTTTCATATGTTAGCGACAAACGTGTTGAAGATGAATTCAAAAAACTCTTCAGTGCTGAATCGCCTTTCGCAGTTACATGTTTTACATGCTGGTCTCGGAAGCAATTTGACAACGAAAAAAAAACAAACATCGAACAAATCGTGACCAATAAATTTGAAGATCTGAAAAAACAATTTCTTGCTGATTTCAACAAATGTCAACCAGAGCCTAAAACAAATGTAGACACAAAAAACAAAAAATTGGTCGATTCAATGTGTCAGACTGAGGGTCGTCGCGCAATGAAAAATAAAAAAAAGAAGATAAGAAAACAGCAACAACAAGAACAAAATCAACAGCAAAGTGACGGAAAAGGGGCGATGCAGGTACAGGTGCTGATATTGGTGCAAATGATATAAAAAGAGATGCAAGTACCTACACATCTTCCAAAAAACAACAGCAACAACATCAACAAAAGCAACAACAACAAAAACAGCAGCAACAAAGAAATCGGCAGCAAAATCGACAGGAACCGAGAAATGATCATGCACACACACACAGTTATCCATTCAGCCGTTAATTTCAAATAAAAAATTGGGTAACTGACCGTCGACGAGGCCATTGGAATGACGGTTTCAATAACCAACGTCATTTTAAGGATGTTTTGCCGAGAGCTAGTCCGCATTTTGATGATTGTGATTGCCGCTCTTGTTTTATTGAATTCGAGAATGGTTTTAAGGATTTTCAACGTGTTCGGAGGGGACTTCGGCCACCAGCTCAACGCTGGCAATCCAGAAACCACTATTAAATGCCACAACAAACTCAGCTGTTAATTTTTCATTTAATTTTTTCAAGGGAGAAATGAGTACTACACACAATTTTAATGATGAAAAATATTCAAAACAGCTGGTTATCCATTCACAAAATGTAAATGGATTAAAAACAAAAATTCCGGAGTTTGTGGCTGAAATTCTAGTGCACCATTCGCAAATTTACATGCTGCGAGAGACTCATCTGAATGACGCCATCAATTCGAATGACTTGTTTCCGCAGATGTACGATGTATATCGTTGTGATCGGTCTCCAAACACTGAGAGGGACCGAGTTCATCGCAAGGAGAATGGAGGAGGAGTTTTGATCGCTGTTAACAACAAGCTGAAGTCGGTTTGCATTGGGACGGGTGACCTGTTCGGTGCGGAACAGATTTGGGTAAAAATATCAGGACTAAAACGAAATATCATTTTTGTAGAATTATATATTCGGCCAGACTCAACACTCAAGGTATATGAAAACAACATGAATGCCTTAAGAGTAATTGCATCGAAGTTAAGTATAAATGATGTTTTAGTAGTTTCCGGTGATTTTAATTTGCCCAAATTGATTTGGTTTGTTGACAATAATGAAGACCCGGACATAGCAATTGCTATCAATGCGGCCAGTGAAAAAGAGAAGATAGTGCTGGATACTTGCTATGATCTTGGTCTTCTTCAGATAAACAAATGCTACAACCAAAATGGTCGTATGCTTGATTTAATCTGGACAAATGATGTTGAGCTGTATCAATGCACAATGAGTGACTTTCATTTATTGAATTTTGAGAAGCACCACAATGCAATCAATATTCGATATAATGAACCCGTCATCAAAACTGTTGAAACTAAGCAAACATATAGAGATTACATAAATGCTGACTATAAACAAATAAATGAGTCACTCCTTGATGTTAACTGGATTAAGGAATTCGATACAAATTCATTAGAAATAAAACTAAACAATTTCTATACAATTGTAAAATCAATAATCGAAAATCATGTCCAGTTAAAAACAAAAATCATCAGGAAGCAACCGATATGGTTTAATAGGCCACTAATCGAGTTGAAAAACAAAGTCAGCAAAGCTCATCGGATTAAAAATAAGGTCAACACAATTGAATCAGTAGAAAATTTTAAACAATTAAGAAGAGAATATAAACGCAGTGCACGGTCAGCACTCAATGATTACAGAATTGAGATGGAGAATCTGATAGACAATGATCCAAAGAAATTTTTCAGACATGTGAATTACAAAAAAGGGAAAAGTGATGATCTGCCTCATGAAATGTCTTATCTGGATATGAGGGCAGAAGACCAGTCTATGATTGCTGGTTTCTTTGCAAAGCATTTTGCTTCAGCCTACAGCTCTTTGAAGGGAAATTTACAATTGGATAGTTCGGAGTTTGAAAATATTAGCAAGATTTGTGCTGAAATATCACCGATTGAAATAACTGAGGAGCTTGTTGGACAACAAATTGACATACTTCCGGATGATCTAGTCAGTGGTCC